TGAGTTTGCTTCCGCAAAATCCTGACAAAACCTTTTGTTTTAAACTTGTGTGCATTGAAGGCCGGGCTGGTCTTGAACGCTCTACTTACTGTTACACATGACAAGTCGTTTGTTCGGGAGATCTTGTTCCCGCAAAACAGAATCGACATTCCGGGATGCCTTGGATCATTTGGCTTCTTGATTTTCTGGTTCCTCAAGGGTGTGAAAATGGACGTCAAGAGAATTTATAAGGCTGAAGCAAAGGCAAGACTCACCGGAATTGCAGCGGTTATTGTCCCTATACTTGTTGGAGCAGTACTTTTCAAGTTTAAACCAGCTCAGAAACGACCGCTCAAGGTCGATGAATATGACGTATTGGTGCTGATGGAGAGCMTCTCGTCCTTCTCSGGGATCGCAAGGCTCTTGCRCGACCTTGGCATGAACCACTCGTCTATTGGTCGGGTCGCTTTATCCTCAGCCTTGGTCTCTGATWTGGTTGGACTCTTTTTCTTGTTRTTRAACGKTCCTCTGACTATGCCATCGTTCMKTGATGGTGTAGCTCTATTTRTAGAGACGGTCTTCTTTATYATCCTTATGTTTGCGGTTATGAGGCCGTTATTGTTCAAAGTAATCAAACGGAAGCGAGAAGGGAGACCAATCGAAGACAAGTACATTTACGGGATTCTYGTCTTGCTTTGCTCAGCAWGTMTTTATTTTASCGRWMTKMAACAGTTTCCTGCACTTGGAGCCTTCTTTGTCGGTCTCGCCATTCCCAATGGACCTCCTCTGGGATCTGCATTGATCGAACGATTAGAGAGCTTCAATTTCGGTATCATATTGCCTCTTTTCTTGTCTGCCGCGATGCTCAGGGCAGATCTCGCAACTTGGAAAGACAGTCTCACACTCTTTAGGGGCAATGAACGGAATTTCGCGGTTGCATCTCTCGTCTTGCTCATCTTCTTGTTGAAGATCTCTGCCACAGTGATCGTACCTTACCTCTACAAAATGCCATTGAGAGACTCCGTTATTCTTGCCCTTATCATGTCCCATAAGGGTATTATCGAACTCAGTTACTACCTTTTCTCGTACGGCATTGAAGTTAGTCTCTCATATCTCTCTTATTCATCATTTCGTTTTATTTTCAAGAAAAGCAAACAGAGGACTCATATTTCTGATTGGTTTGATACAGCTTATATCCAGAGATATCTTCTCTGTCCTAGTTTTGTCCATTGTCCTCAACTCGGTTCTCATACCACTGGCGATCGGATTTCTCTACGACCCATCGAAGCAATTCGTGTGCTACCAAAAGAGAAATTTAGCGAGTATGAAGAACAATGGAGAGCTAAAGACTCTTGTGTGCATCCACAGGCCGGACCACATATCTTCCATGATCAACCTTCTAGAAGCTTCTTATCAATCCGAAGCGAGCCCTCTCACATGCTATGTGCTTCACCTTGTCGAGTTACAAGGACAAGACGCTCCAACTTTGATCTCACATAAAGTCCAAAAACTCGGAGTAGGGACGGGAAACAAATATTCGGAAAACGTCATCCTCTCTTTTGAACATTTTAATCGTTATGTTTGCAGTTCCATTTCCATAGACACGTTCACTTGCATCGCAAACCCGAATCATATGCAGGATGATATTTGTTGGCTAGCTCTTGATAAAGCTGTCACACTTATCATTCTTCCTTTTCACCGGACTTGGTCACTAGACCGAACATCCGTCGTAGCCGACAGTGAGATGATCCGATTTCTTAATTTCAATGTCTTGAAACAAGCTCCTTGCTCTGTCGGCATCCTTGTCGAACGCCATCTTGTTAACAAAAAGCAAGAATCTCAACAAAGCTTTAAGGTATGTATACTTACAACTACCGTTTTATTATCTTTCGAGTCGATCAATCTTCGTATTGAAACTAAGCAAGAGAAAACCATTGTCCTTCCATTCTGGTCTAATGGTTGAAGACTCTCTATGCTGGTCGAATCTTATCCTCTGTCCGCCCGTTCTGGTCATTATAGACGTTTTAGTTGACAAGAAATTAGCAAGTACTCAGAGCAGTTTTAATGACAGGTATGTGTGATCTTTGTGGGAGGAAAAGACGACAGGGAAGCCTTGGCCTTTGCGAAGCGAATGGCTTGTCAAGAAAACGTGACATTAACGGTTCTACGCCTCCTAGCATCTGGGAAGAGCAACAAAGAAGCAACGGGATGGGATCAGATGCTTGACACGGCGGAACTAAGAGAGTTGATGCGAAACAACGATGCAGGAATGCTAAAAGAAGAAAGTTCCACAATTTACTTGGAACAAGAGATATTGGATGGAGCGGATACGTCAATGCTTCTACGTTCCATGGCTTTCGATTACGATCTTTTCATCGTGGGAAGAACCTGTGGCGAGAACCACGAGGCGACAAGAGGGATAGAGAATTGGTGTGAGTTTGAGGAACTTGGAGTCATTGGTGATTTCTTGGCCTCGCCGGATTTCCCAAGCAAAACGTCCGTGTTAATAGTTCAACAGCAACGAACGGTATAGCCAGTAATTAAAAGCGGAGAAGCACACTGCCTTT